TAAAATGCAGAATTTCTTGAGACTTGTTCATTTGACAAACTTGTTGAGTCTGCCTTCCTCCTTGTTACGCTTCAATCCTCTGGAGTATTGCTTCCTTACAGTTGCATCTGCAATCAAAATGTATTTCTATAAATGTTTGGAAATCCTACATGTCACAAAAATGTGTGTATGTGTATTTATATACATTTTGTCACCTTTAACTGTTGTATGGTTCTCTCCAAAACCTTGATTTCTTCTTGGTAGTTGCTTTCCAGCACTTCAATCTTGTGAGCTTCACTCTTTATCCATACATCATTTTCCTCTTTCTGTTCATCCATTTTTTTCAGCAGATCCTGTTTCTCCCTTTCTAGATCTTCAACCTACAAATGTAAAAGACACAGTAGGAAGTCCACAGTTACCAGTTGCACTTGGAAACAAAGAGTGCTCTCTGCTGGAGTTCTAACTAAAATCCAATACCATAGTTTAAGCCAGAAAGGGTTGAAATTATTAAATATTAACAAAAAAAAATATATGCCCTTACCCTTTTATTTAAATCCACCATTTCAAGTTCAGATTGTAGCGCCTTTCTGTAACCATAAAGAATGCTGCTTTCAATCATCTTCTGGTAGGTTTTGATGGTCATTTGAATCTCGTCTCTGACTCTCAGCAGAAGCAGACCCATCTCAGCACAGGTTATGGTGCTCAGCCTGATTAATTCATCTAATGGTGATAGAAATTAATGCATTGTCAAAGTTATAAGTGATCCAGTCTTGTGTAATTTTGACAAATATGTCCATGTAGATAAAAAATTTACTAGAAATCCTAGGTTTGAATCTACATACAACATTTACATGAATTTCAAATGTTTGTTCCATCTAATCTTTAAAATAATTGTTCCAGGTGGAAAAAATTACACATTTTTTTCCATTTCAGTTTAAAATGCACTAATACATCTCCAGAAATATTTGAATAAACAATCCTTTCCAAGAGTCAGAGAAACTATGTTCTGTCTGTAGATATTTCCAAGCTTTTTACTGATTATCTTTGGTGCTTTAGCTACTTTTCCAGGCATTGTTAATCTAAATTAAAATAGTTTGTACAGTTTGGCACAGACCCAGCTTTTAATCATAGCCTATAACAATTAACTTTTTACCATCTTATCTCTTAGCCAAAGCCACAGAAAGTTGGACAAAACATTTTTTTCAAGGATTCCCTAGCTGGGCTACTTAATAGAAAATTTTTATATGATCACACTGCAGAGGACAAGTCCACATCAGCACAAAATGCCTCCCTTCACCACACTGGACTTGGACAAGCTTCTACAGAGGATGGCTGTCATGGAAATGAAGATTAAACAACTGGACCTAAATGCTGGTTATGAAAATGTTACAACCCTGCCAGTTTCAACCTTGACGGTGTCTGAAAACACTGAGATGACCCCACCTGTGGTTTTA